CACACACATGGCTAGACTTGGCAAACCTGCCCTCATATATGCTGGATGCTGCCACAACCTTTGGATCTTAAGAGCCCGCCTCCAAGGCTTACCTGCACAAACTACTAGCTCTGTCCCTATGCCAACCTTGGCTGACTGCTCATTCTGTAGTGCCAAGGCCCCTGGGCCTAGTGTGGAGTTCCCAGGACTGTCTGTGGCATGTGGTTTTCTGTCAGCTGTAAGCAGGCAGGTGTGCTGGGAGGTGCAGGAGTGCTCAGGCTGGGGGATGTTCTTTGGCCTTGCTTGCTGAGGAGTCCATCAGCAGTGGTGGGTTCCTGGCCTCGGTCTGCTGAGAGGGTTCAGTGGTCATTCTCCCTGATGGTGTCGCTCAGTGTGGCTCACCACCTCATCCTCCCATTCTTGGCCTCCAGGGACAGGAGAGCTACATTGTGCTCCCAACATGGCTGTGGCCGTCCATCCTCCCTCTGGGGGCCCCTTCATCCAGCAGGCACTGGTGGCAGCCTCCTGCATGTCTGCGCCAAGCCTGGTGTTTACTTCCTCTGTGCCCTGTGATCCTCTTCACGAAGGCCCTGGGGACTGTGGCCTCCAACCGCACCATTGGTTGACCATCCTGAGAGGTGTCTGTCTGCCATTTGTGCTCATCCATCTTGCTGCAGTGCTGGGAACAGATGCTGACTCATGTCTGTCTGTGGGGGTCCCCCAGAGCCTTTGGGAGAACAGGGATCCAAACAGTGCCCTGGCTGGGAGGACATGTGGATGGAGCTGCAGCCTCAAATCCACCATTTACTGTGGCCCGAGCGCACACCCACACTCCTCTCCTTCATGGAGGAACCCTTGGGTTCTCTGTCTCTACCCACCTGTGACTGCCTCTGGGATGGGACATTGCCATCTGGGGTGCTCTGCCTTGTGCTGACACCACAAGGTGAGTGCCTGGGCTCCCCATCCCGCCAGGCTAAAGCCGGCGCTTGAGTGGCAGGGTGTGAGGCGGACTCCCTTTCTCCAGGAATACAACTGTTAGCCCTAGCTCCAGTGAGACCTGCGAGGCTTCTCATCCTGCCTTGCATGCTTCGGTTCTCTGACAGAAACTCTGGAGCGAGGGCCTTGCTGGGAGAGCCCTGGCCATGTGTCCTCTCACATCTGCCATCCCCTGGATGCCACAGCAGCTGCCAGCAGTGGCCTGTGAAAAGCAGGCATCTTGCACAGGAGGGGTCTTGGTGTCCCAACTCTAGCTCAGTCTCCAGGCAGAGAGAATCAGTGGCAGAGGCTGGATTTGAACTCAGGACCTCTGAGAGTATTTTCTGTCTGAAGAGAGCAGATCTCTGCTGTGCTCCCTGCTGGTTTCCTGCTGTAGGACTGCTGAGGAAGCCATGTCTCTGAGTCACCTTATCCTCATCAGCTCACTGTTGGTGCCAGTCAGCAGGGGGCCAGCGGCCCCTGTGTGCATTACTACACAGCCTGGAACATCTGAAAGGCCTGGGGGAGGCATGTCTGGGCAGGCACCTGCTGGGGTCTGACCAGTAATTCTGGTGCCAGTCAGCAGGGGGCCAGCGGCCCCTGTGTGCATTACTACACAGCCTGGAACATCTGAAAGGCCTGGGGGAGGCATGTCTGGGCAGGCACCTGCTGGGGTCTGACCAGTAATTCTGGCCCTCCCAGTCCTCCTGGCCAGGGCTGTGTTTTGCTGAAAGCTGGCTGCCCTTGCTGACCTCCAGGGTGTACCTGGGTGTCCCACGGCAGGCCAGCCTCCAGGGAGCATGTGCTCACCACTCACCTTGGAGGTGGCTTGGGCCTCCCCTCCTCGGATGGTGATACACAGCACAGGGCACTCCCTCTTCCAGCTGCTTGCTTGGTAACCAAGACTTGTGGGAAATACTTGAGACCTTCGCAGTCACAGATGAGCTGGGAGTTGGGCAGGAATCCACATGGAGAGTGGTAGTTGGAAGAGCACGTTGCCCTCCATCTCCACCCAGTGAGATCTGTGTAGGAGTGATTCTGTTAATATTGACACTCTTGTCCTCATTCAGAGCTGCTGGTATCTGCTTGTTGGGTGTTGCACTTGGGCCTCACATGGCCTCCCTCCCCCCAAGTCTGACTTCGCTTTGTGTCTTGGGGATGCTGAGTTATCTCTTTAAAGGTCATAGCCCTGATGTGTAGATGAGGCATCGGAGTCAGCTTGTCACTCAGTGATGTGAGTAGACACTCTTCTTAGGACAGGGGGCATTTTTAAAGTGGGGGAGGGAGTGTGTCCATTTTTGAGTGGCCTAGTTGCTGGGAGAGGACTGGGCCATGGTGTCAAGGCGAGCATCTCCAGTGTCACCTCCTTTTGAGAAGGGTAGCGGGTGTGTGTGGTCCTGCAAGCACCCAGAGCCATCCCCTGTGCAGCCTCGAAATCAGCCTCTACAGACACCACCCCTGGTGTTCTCAGTCCACTTAGATTCTCAGAACTGGAGGCTATCTGTACAGAGACCTTAGAGTTCCCTGTAGGAGCTCATGTCACAGTTGAGGAGGCTGAGCCCAGAGGAGCCATGCTATGTGCCCCAGGTGGTTCTGAGAGGGACTAGCACTGGCGCTTGGGTTCCTGACCTGGTCATGTAGCCTGGCCACTTCATATGTATCAAGTGAGGACGGGGGGATGACAGTGGAGTACAGAGCCAGGACATGATGCCATGGCCAGGGTTGTAGATCCAGTGTAGTGAAGCGGAGGCTCTCTGTCACCCAGGTGTCAGCTAAACCCCTTAGCACCCTGAGCATTATCAGTGAGGTGGAGTTTGTTAGGTGGGTGACCTATTCACATATGATCTCACACATCTGTGCATCTTGGTGGAGGGTCTCGGGAGCATCATGCCCTTAGACACCTAGTCCCAGCTTAGGAGACCAAGCTGTGATAGAGGAATGGGAACCCCCAGGGAGGGAGTTCAGGTGCAGACTCCAGGGAGAGAGCCACTTGGGATGAAGCCTTCCCTGAGGAAACCTCGTGAGGGTGGCAGATGTGGGTTGAATGGGCAGCTGGTGGGTGGCCAGGCTGACCTGCTGGCAGTCATATCTCTAAGGGCAGGGAAGGAGCCTGAAGGCAGCTCTGCCCTCCTTCAGGTTCATAGCCTCCATGCACAGTGAGAGGGACTGCTTGGGGCTGGAACCAGCAAGTCTCAGGGATTCTGGGAGCAGGGGTGGTCGTGCAGGCCTCTCACATGTATGCTGGCTGCCACTTGGGACAGAGGAATTTTAGAAACGTCAGAGAAAAAGGCTGAAAGGAGTCCACAGCAGGTGCTCTAGCATGAAATACAGGGGGAGCAATTTCAGACCAGGAGCAGAATGAGTCTCTGGCCCTTGTTTTGAATGCGCTCAAAAATGGGTACCAGGAACCAGAATAAGCTTCCTGAAGAAACATAATCCCAAATGGGTATTGCTTTTTGTTGATAAGACTTGCTAGAAAAGCAGCATTGTGGGAATTTTCTCCTGGCCTGTGCTGACCTCAAAGATGAGGGTATGGACAAGCCCAGTGGGTAGGGGCAGACGGGTGAATCCAGCTGGCATGTCAGCTCCCCAGGGCTGCTGCAACCACATGTCACAGTCATGGTGGCTGCACACAATAGGACTGTGCTGTCTCCTATCTGGAGGCTACCAAGTCTGAGTCAGGACTTCAGTGGAGTTGGTTCCTTTCCCAGGCCCCGGAGAGGCTCTTCCGTGCGCCCTTCCTCATTCCTGCTGCTTCCAAGTGATCACCAGCATTTCTTGGCATGTAGATACATCACTCCAGCCGTCTGTCTTCTTCTGTGTATCTGTGTCCAGATTTCTCTCGTCTTACAAGAAAACCAGTCCATGGGTCAGAATCACCCATATCCAGTGTGAACTTGTCTTAACTTGATGCATCTCCCAAGACCCTATTTCCAAATAAGACCACATTCACAGGTAGCACAGGGTTAGGGCTGGAATATGTATTTGGGGAACACAGTTCACCCACAACAGCTTGGCCTTCCTCAAGCCCAGCTCACTCCCTGAGGCCCACTCCTGTCAGTATTCCCCAGTTGTGCCCATAGAAACCTCAGACCCCAAGGGATGGTCTCACTTGCTGTGTCTGCTCCAGTTGCTCAGGTCCCTCCAGGGGGCTCGGGGCATCTGCAGTCACAGAGGTGATGGCCTACCAGGTGGCTTCAGCGCCTGCAGTCCCAGAAATGATAGCCCACCAGGGGCTCAGGGAGCCTGTAGTCAGAGGTGATGGCCCACCAGGGGCTCTGGGCCTGTCTCTCAGCCTGTGTTGTTTTCCTAGGAAACATTGCTCTATGTTTTATTGAATTCTGTTGTAGATAGTGGTGTCTTTTTCCCCCCAAGAAGTTTGCAAATTCCCTAAGGATTGTGATCTTCATCACAGTTCCTTTCGTATTCCTTAGTGCTGACCCTGAAGCTATTGTCTTAGAGGGAAGAACTTAATGTGGATGACTGTAGCCACCCTGTGGCACCCTTCTCCTGCCAACCTACCCACAGACTTCTGATGACTTGGGTGTCACCCTACCCTCCCTGGTCCTACCTTGGTCCCTGTCAGTGCAGGGTACAGAGTGACACTATATGACACATCAGCATGTGGAGCAGATCTGAGTTTCAGGTAAGCCTTGATCCAGGGGCAGACCGACCCGACAGAACCCACGGCTCCTTTTCTTGGTGACATCTTCTGAGTTTAAGCTCCGTTTCTAGTGTTGCCTCTGCCAGGCCTCTGCTGGAGATGCTTGGGCCACACCTGCTGGGATCTTTGCCCCTCCTTCTCCAAGGTTCAGAGTGTTCCTGCCCCCAGATTCCTGCAAGAGCCTGGGGTCTGCCCCAACATCAGTAGGTCACAGGCCCTCTCCTGACCTGCAGCCCCAGGGCTAGGACACACTCATTCATTGGTCGAGCCCGATTCACGTGATGCCTTTCACTGAAACCAGGGCTGCTGGGGAGGAGTGGGCACGAGGGGTGAGCTCTCTCAGCCCTGCCCCATCTCTGACAGAGGCTGCATTTCCCTCCAGGACTACATCGATGCCCACCCAGAGACCATCGTGCTGGATCCCCTGCCTGCCATCAGGACCCTTCTCGACCGCTCCAAGTCCTACGAGCTCGTCCGCAGGATCGAGGCCTACATGGACGGTACGGACACGTGCGACTCGGTGTCCAAGGCAGGCAGCCACCTCCGTGGTCATGAGGCCAGGGGCAGGTTCTGGTCTTTTAAGCCATTTGGGATGGGAAGCGGTTGAATTCCATAGGGCAGTTGTTTCAGAAGCAGTGGAGTTAGGAAACTAGTCTCATGGTGCCCATTGTGACGGTGGCTCTCAGGCTCTTGTTTTGTTGTGCTAAATCTGCAGGTGTTGATGAGTGTCCTGACAACACAAGGGCTGTGGAGCCTCCCTCCCAGCTGGGAACCTCCCTCCTAACTGTGGAGCCACCCTTTTAACTGTGGTGCCCCCCTCCTAAGCAGTGGAGCCCACTTCCCAGTTGTGGACATCCCTCCTAGCTAGGAACCCCCTTCCTGGTCGGGAATCTTCCTCCTAGCCTTGGAGCCTCCCTCCCAGCTGGGAACCGCTCTCCCAGCTGGAAACCTCCCTCCTAGCTGTGGAGCCTCTCTCCTAGTTGTGGATCCTCCCTCCCGGCTCTCTCCTGGCTGGGAACCTCCCTCCTAGCTGTAGAGCCCCTCTCTTGCAGTGGAGCGCCCCCCTCCTAGTTGTGGAGCCTCTCTCCCAGCTGAGAACCTTCCTCCCACTTGTGGAGCCTCCCTCCCAGTTGAGAGCCTCCCTCCTAGTTGTGGAGCCTCCCTCCCAGCTGTGGAGTCCCCCTCCTAGCTGGGAAACTCCCTGCTAGCTGTGGAGCCTCCCTCCCAGCTGTGAGGCCTCCCTTCAAGCTGTGAAGCCTTCCTTCCAGCTGCAGAGCTTCCCTCCTACTTGTGGAACCTCCCTCCCAGCTGGGAACCTCCCTCTTAGCTGGGAGCTTCCTGCCAGCCACAGGTACTTGTCCTCAGAGCTCATCTACCATTCCCACCCCACCATAGGGCAGGCAGCTCCAGAGAAGTCAGGACTGCCTTGTTCAGTCTGTTGATGTGAGGACTTATGGAAGGATTCACGTTCATAGTGACCTTCTAATTCTCTCTGGTCGGTCTGTGTGCTCCTTGCTGATAGTGATTGTTCAGTTTTGAGAAAAGGGTCTTGGCTGGGGCCCTGGGGCTGCATGAGGATTCGTGTTAGGGTCAGGAGAGGTGCCCCCTGCCACACAAACCATAACTGAGGCCTGCTGCAGCTGCCTTGGACCCTGGCCTGGATTGTGACCAACCCTGGCATTATTTCCCATGACAGTGGCACCAGTGGGCCCCGTTTGGTTCACAGGGCTCAAGGCAGCCTGTCTGTATGCCCATCAAGAGATCTGAGAGCAGTGTGTGGGACATGAAAGTGCCTGGCTCTGGTTAGTTCTTCTTACATCCTCTCTTTGCTCTTGAAGGTAGGCATAACGATCCTTCGGAGTCACAGAGGCTGCGAGTGGTTGGCAGACACAGCCACATTTCATAACGCTGGGGTGGCTACCCCATCTCTCTGACATGGGCACCCTATCCTACCCTATCCAAGCTTGCTTTCCTGGCCGTGGCCAGCTGGCCCTGGACCTAAGCCCCTGGCATGGGTGCAGCTGAGGTCCCTGGACTGCATGGGTGCAGCTGAGGTCCCTGGACTGGAGAGTCACTGAGCTCTTGGTTCCCTCTCTAAGGAGTGGGCTTGGTGGCAGTGCTGGCCACTGGACCTGGATGTCCTCCAAGGGGTCCCGAGGCCCTTCCCTGGGTGCCTAATGTTCACCCATGGATGTAGGGTTTAGGGGTCATCCTGGGCCCTTGTGGCTTTCCTGGCACACCGGCAGCCTTTCTTCCTTGAGTCTGGAGTGGATAGCCCCTACTATCTGCTTCCCCACCTTTGTATCCCTTTCCTGGGTCCATCCAGAACTCCAAAGGAGAGGAAAGAACTGTGAGTGTTCCTTCTGGAATCTCCACTCCTGGGACCACCCTTCCCTCAGTCTGCTGAGGTGACATTTCGACCAGGTGTTGATTCTGGAAGGGGCCAGTCTCTTTCTGGACACTGCCTGTGTGAAGCAGGAGAGCGTATTAAAACACACGAAGGCCCAGTTAGTAGAAGAAGGAGTCTGGCTGGTGGTTGCATCCACACCCTGTGCAAGTCCCCAGGAAGGATGACAGATTCTGGTGGCACTTGGGGAGGGGGTATGGAGGGACTATGGATGGAGACAGGCTGAGACTGAGTCTGACTCTGGGCTCTTGCTAGCCATATGGTCTTAGACACGTCACTTGATCTGGTTTGCCTGTGTTGTAGAAGAGGTGGGTGATACCTGGCTCATCCATGGGGTCAGGGTACATAGTTGACATTTGCTGAGCACTCAGCATGGTATCTGGCCCTTTGGGTCCCCAGGAAATAGCGGCTGCTGTCACTGTTCCCAAATGATGGCAGTGCCTGAGAGTCTGGATTGGGTCTTAGATTCTTTCTCAGATTTTACAGAGTAGAGTCAGGAATGGGGTCGAGTGAGCCTGGGCCCAGGGTTCAAGTGTATATAGCGTGGTCAGGGAGCAGGAGCCCAGAGGCTGGACTAAGACAGGCCCAGGAGGGGGCAGCAGGGAGTGTGGTCACCTGCTTGTGAAGAGGGCAGTACTGGTGAGCAGGATCCTGTCGCAGTTTAGTGCAGGGATGAGCAAGTCCAGGAGCTGCCCCATTGAGGGAGTGGGCAGGCCATCCATGAGCAGGCCCAGTCCCCTCCAGGTCCAGTGAGAGCTTATGGACCAGACCCCAAAGCACGCTTGCTTGGTTCAGGGCTGACAGGAAGTGTTGGCATATGGCTGTGGATGCTTCCCCTGGCTTTTCCTGACCCCATATGCTGGGCTGGGTTTGTGTTCTTTCTGGAGGGCTGTTGGGGCTGGAGCTTCCTGGAGCCCTTTCCTGCCCACTTTGGGTCCACCTTCCCGGGGACTGTCTGTCTTCCAGCACTGCTAGGTGGGACCCTGCTGGGCCTCCCACACTACAGAGCGGAGAATCTTCCCAAGAGCACATTGGGCCATCCTCCGCCCAACTCCCTGCGGTTCCTGGAGGCATGTAGCCCCTTTAGGCAGACTGTTCATGGCCATAATCACCCTCGAAGTTCCTTAGATAATGACAGCAATCCCAGGATGCTGCTGTTGTGTCTAAGAAGGGGCTTGGTGAGGCTCCCTCAAACCTGGGTGACCACAGGGAGGACAGTGAGAGAGGCAGCTACAGGGTCTCGCTGATGGGCAGAGGGGGGAGACGACCAGGGCCCCTTCCTGCAGCAGGGGTGGCAAGTGGGCCATGGCACCAGGGGAGGTGTTCCAGGAATAGCAAGCAGAGCACTTGAGTGAGAGTCCATGCTTAGGTGGGCCCTGTCTCCATGCTGAGCACCAACCTTGGAGAACCCCTCCCCTGCGTCAGGGAGACACTGGGCCTGCCGGGAGAACCTGGTCTCACCTGTCTTCATGTGGAGCACCAGCCGTGGAAGACTCCACTCCCACCCCCACCCCCCAATCAGAGTGACTTTGGGCCTGCTGGGAGCACCCAGCCTTGCCTGTCTGAGTCTCTGGGCCTGTCTGAGTCTCTCGTGGTTGGTTCTGGGTCATTTCCACACTCCCGGAGCCCGTCCTCTTCTAACCAGAGCCTAGAAGGAGGCAGGGTAGTATCTCTGCCTCAGGCTTGTCACCCTCTAGCCCACCTACTCAGTGCTAAAGTTGCTGTAACAGCAGAGACCTAAGACAATGGTGGCTTGTAGGTTGAACTTGCTCTCACTTTCACATTAACCAGAGGACGACCATGGGCACTGGGTGCAGCAACAGGACCTCAACTCGCCAGTGTCCTTCCTGGTAGGGTCCTTCTGATCCTAGGGAGAGGCTAGACTTCCAGCCCTCGCTTCCAAGGCCTAGAGTTAGAATGGAGAGGACAACCAAGAAAGAAGAAGCAAAAGGGAAGGGTCTGGAAACTGCAACATGCTGTGTCTCCTGACAGAGTTAGCCACATGCATGCTGCATGGAGCTGGGAAACGTAGTCTTTGTGTTGGGCAGCCACTGCCTGGCTGAGACTCAGGAGGGGTAGAATGCATTTTGGATTCAGGAGGGGAGCACTGGGTCTTCCAAGGCCTGGGGGACCTACTTTCCATGGGTGAATGACCTTGGAATGACCACTCCTCCTCTGGCTGGCTAGGAGTGTGGCCTCAGCCTGGACCTTAACAGCCTCACCTGCCCCAGCATTCCTGGATGACCATGTCCAGGAGGCAGCCAGGTGAAGGCACACCTGGACCCACACCCTAGCTCCTTTCACACCCCTTAGGGTCCTCATTTCCCATGGGTGAATGACCTTGGAATGACCACTCCTCCTCTGGCTGGCCAGGATTGTGGCCTCAGCCTTGACCTTAACAGCCTCACCTGCCCCAGCATTCTTGGATGACCATGTCTGGGAGGCAGCCAGGTGGGGGCACACCTGGACCCACCCCCAGGCAGATGCCAGGTGGCACTGAGCTCAGAGCCAGTTCAGACCCAGTGCAGAGCCTTCCAGAAGTGAGGCAGATGCCCCTCAGCACCCTCGACAGTGGCCCCCGGTGACTCTGTGAAACCAGGCCCCCTGGGACATCCTCTCTCTCTCCCCATTCTCCCAAGCTCCCAGCCCCATGTTTGCAAGAGTGTAGCTGGGTTTATTTCCCCAACAAGGAGTGTTTCAGAGTGACCTGTCATGTACACAGGTGGACTTTCTTTGATATTTTTATTGGCTTTTTAGGTTATATTATATTATAATAAAATTTACATGTTCGGGTTTGTTTAGTATAATTTTTACTTTTGAGTCATTTTAGACATTAAAAAAAAGATACAAAAATAGGGTCCAGAGTTCCTGTGACCCCTTGGCATCCTCTGGTGCTAACACCATGTGGCCATAATGTGATTATCCAAGCCAAGAAGTTCACACTGACAGCAGCACTGCTGCTTTGTCTAAAGGCCTTATTCAGGTTTCCCCTTGCTTCCCCCGTCCCTTTCATTGGCCCACAATCCAGTTGTCATTCTCTGTGATCTCCTGCCATTGGGGCCCAAGCCTTCTGGCTGTCTTCATAACCTTGAC